TGTGTGTGTGTGTGTGTGTGTGTGTGTGTGTGTGTGTGTGTGTCAAAGCCTGATATAACTTTGTCCTCTGTGCCGTAGAGCTGCATTGTTGTCCAAAAACTATTAAAAACGCATCAGAGTCACACTGTTACACTGGGTGACATGTTCCTTCATTACCTTGAACGGACACATTGTAGTTTATTTTTTAATTAATCCCACATACACCCTCCTGCTGCCCCAAATACCCCAAAGAGAATACAACGTGTATTAATCTGCTGCAGAATAAAGTTCTCTAAAAACATTGCCCAGCTGTTAAAGGAAATTACTGAGCCCTTTTTTTAAAAATACAAATGTACATATGCGACTCATTTTCAGTGTTGGACAGTTTTTTTAATAATAAAAAATGAAAGTCAAAGAAATTACTAATATTGGGTTTTCCCCTCAGAATTCTGGTGTACCATGGGGAAGCCTCAGATACAGTATTTGGACTGTCACTGAAAGCCGTATTAATGAGCACTTTAGCTGCCTCATGCAGGCTTTGCTGGCTGTTGAACACCACGCAGAGGACTTCTCTCATCAGCAGTTTCATACAAAAATAGTTACAAGATTAAAATGTATTGCTCACTTATGTGGAATCTGTAGGAACATGGTGACGGATGTTCTGATGGGAGGAATAAAGTGACTTTGATATGAACCTCTGGAACTTCATAGTAATGGTTAGTTTTACTGGGTTATAACAGCAGGAAGGTACACAGGTGGGACTGTGTGCTGCGGAATAGACAAAGTCTCAGTACTAATAATTCTTTCTTTGCCAGGTAGAAGAAAGACCCCAAAACAGTCTTGTTCGGCAAATTACCTCTCCTACCTTTTGAAAGAGGAGGGCGCCTTGTTCTTGCACGTTTATTTATTCCTCCTTCTTTGTTCTCTTCCTGAGGAACTTGTCAGCCGTGACAGTAGCTCACTAAAGTTATCTCGGGCCCCGTCGTCCACGTCTCAAGGTGTTATTGCTGCTCCGCATGGCGACGCATTGCTCGGGGACTGTGCCGAACAGCGGCGCGTTATCGCCTCTGATAAGCAATTAGCATTCTCAAAGCCGCTTTCTCTCACATTCAACTTATTATTATGTGGAAATTTGAGCAATCTTATTCCCTTGTTGGCCAGAGTCCCTGTTGCTGTGATGAACACAAATAATTCATATCCAGTCGTTACAGCTTCAGCTTGTGTGACATTGACAGATTCATTATAATTTCTTTCATTTTTTAAGTAAACATCAACATAGCAAACAACGACAGCTAACCACACACACACACATTCGAAGGAATGCACACACACTCGCAGACATCAGTAAAAAAAAATCTGCCGAATGCACGTGGCTTTTCTAATTACATGGGTCTGCCCTCCTGCTGCCAGAGAAGCTCATTTGGGAACTGAGAGGAACGCGCACGCTAAAAGCAAAGGAGGCTGGGAAGGATGAGTCTTAATGAGGGGAATCAGTGGAACGTGTCTGATGGTGACATTTCTTCCTGGAGCTGGAGGGCTCTCAATGAAAGGCAGGCCTTTACCGTGGGGCCTGCTCCCCCACTCAGCCCTCTCATCCTCGGATAACCGGGCATGGCGCAGCACAACAAGCAGCCCTCACACAGGAGGCAATTAAAACTCTGATCTGCTTACACACCCGGAAACACTAGCTTGGCTGCGGGGTGGTGGGGGGGCGTTCGCTGATGGTGGTGGGGCGGTGATATGCGTTTGTCAGCAGGAAAGGGCGAAAGCGGAGGTCCGTAATAAGTCGTCTTAGTCGTTTATTGCAACATACAATATTTCTTCAGAATCAAAAACTTTTATAGTATTAAAGTAAACAGATGCAGCTTCCAAACAAAAAACAGCATCAGGGGACTGGGCCGAACGTGATGCTATTAAGCGGAAGCTGGCACGGAGTCAGAGTTGCTCTTTAACACCAGCAGCGCCGCTGCCAAGCCTTAATGCGATCTGTTAGTGAAGAGGGTCCTGGGACCTCAGTGGGCTCAGGGTGTTAGATAGCAGTTAGTTCGGAGTTAGCTAGAGCTGCAGTAAAGCTAATAACATGATTTATTACAACTTTGTAGTCATTAGACGTTGCTTTGTGGCTGTTCTTTGTCATGATGTCATTGTACACATGACAGTAGGTGTTTTGGTCTACAAAGGACAGTTTAGGTTGCAATTTTACAGTTAACCTCGACCAGGAGATTTCCTAAAAACCTGTATATTTGTCTGACTGCTGAAACTATGTCCACTGAGCAATGTCTGCACGATCCAAGACAGTGGCTCCCAAACTATTAATGTCAGGCCCCCTTTGGAAGCCGAAGAGTTTCATATTTTAGTACATACTTAAATGTTCTATCGATGAGCACCTTCCGATCGATGACCGCCCTGTTATAACTCCCTCCATCTTGTATTTGACATGTTTTGCTCTCTAAATAAATCTTGCTAATCTGAATCTTTGATATCCGCGCAGCATCGGAGCACTCGTGTTTCTCTTTCGTTCTCAAATTAATTAGATTCATAGGAAGGTCGCAGGTGGGGAATCAATAACATTAATGATGCTCCAGTACCGCAATGATTGCAATGCAGCGATTAGTGATGTTTTTGGCTGCAGCTGTGTTTCAAATGTCAAAAAGTCTCCTGTGGGAAAAAAAAGTCTTATTCATCTTAAGTTGCACGACATATTCATGTGCGTCCACACCATAATAGAAACTTAAACCGTCAGCTTTGATTTTCGATTCATTATTTTTCAAGCAAACAGTCTCTGGGTCCAGCTTTTCCCTGTTTTAGATCATTGTAAAGTAAATATATTGTACTTTGGACTGTTATTTAAAGGGGGCTCTGGGAAATTGTGATGGACTGAGAAAGCAAAAGTGTCAAAAGATCAATCAAAGAAGAAAACAATCATTAGCAAAGGCCATCATGTGTCCAAACCACACGTATCAATGGGAAACATCACTCCACGGATGAAGCCAAGTAGAGCGTAAGGCGCACATGCATGACCAACAATTGGTCCTCCCAAGTCAAGACTATTCATTTTTATATTTCCTGAAGTGCGCCCGTGTTTTCTAACCAATTAAACAAGAACACACCATTTTGTCCCGTGGCTTGACAACCGAGCCGGTGGCTTTAAAAGCCTGTGGTTTGTGTGATAATGGCCGACTGGTAAATGCAGCCATTAGAGGCCAGACAGGGTTTGGTCACCTTCACAGGCTAAGAGCCGGGCTGTTGTTGTCCTCCATCAACTGAAGAACCCCCTTTTGCTGCTCTGGTACAGCTGCCCATTATATCTGGCTATTTGGGTGACCCGTGGCTGTTGTGTCATTTTCACACCACAGGGCTAATTGCACCAAATGGCGGTGGATTCTGAGGGAACAGATGAGATAGGCAGTCAGCGCTGACCGCCTGGTGCCAACCATTAGCTGTAATTTAGTTTATAGCTTCAAAGATTCTCTAAGATTTGATGTATTAACACATTACCAGTGAGCCTGTGGTGATGTAACTGAGCAATCATTTCTTTGGTGTTTCTCTGAAAAGGGACTACATGATACATTCCTTCCATCAGTGTTTACGATGACTACACAAATTTTAATCTGCTGCTCCTCTTCTTCCCTCACTGTAGCTGGCTGCACCTTCGATGAGGACTCGGACCCTGGCTTGTGCGAGTACCGGCAGGGACAAGATGACGACTTTGACTGGCAGCTGATCAGGACCTACAACTGGCCACACCCGACCCCAGATCTTCTACGAGGTTTGTTTCTAACGGGCCTGAACGCATCACCTCTCAAGGCATAAAACCCCGTTTTGGATACTGTAAAGCGTCGCACAGGAATGTACTGGAACCATCTGTCATTTCTGTCATTAACTTGAGGAGTAAAGAGTTTATACAACTCATCAAATTAAGTTTCTAAAGCAACTTGATCAGCATTTTAGCTGACGTCCCAGCATGCCTTATTTGAGTTAAAGCTCTCCAGAGACTCCTGTGTTTTGTTGCTTGAAGACAACATATTTGATGGAGACTTGCTGCGTGCGTTTATTAATACAAGTCAGGTTTCTGCTGGAATGTACTGTATATCTAGTAAAAACAAACATGAACCAGAGATGCCCCACGTCTAGAAATACAGTTATAAACAATGCAGTTTGGTACAAAAACACAACACAGAATAATGCACCAGTCCACTATAAAGAGGCTTGCCGCAGCTTTTATGTGCCGGGCTGTTTTTTAGTTGGTTCATTGTGGGAGCTCTGTGAATCTTCAGAATGAAGTAATGACACATTCAACGAAAACAAATTTACTGGAAACTAAATGGGACTGTTTGTGCATAATTCTCTCAGTTACCAGAGGGGGGACTGCAAGTCCAAACATTAAGTCTGAATTCATTTCAGAGCAATCAAGGCAGGATAATTGTGTGGTTTTGAATGAGGAGGGTCCAAAGGAACGGAGGGTCAGTCGTGCATAATCGCTGCCAGTGCTGTGAAAGCTACTTTCAAAAGTTAGATGTTTTTGACAACATTTTCAAAAGCCTGGCAACATTTGCTGAACTATTTCAGTATGCGTCATTTTCAATGGGAATGCAGCGCTTATCTTTTTTTAATTTGAATTATTCCCAACACTGGTCAGTTCACAGACACATAATGTATCGAATTAAAGAAAATGCAAATTCATTTCCAAGTATTGAAATAGTCATTTTAATTAAAGCAGAATCACAGTTTAGAAAATACCATCTTTGATATGTGGCTGTGCTCAAAGTTTGATTTAATAGAGAACAAGAAGATGCTGGGAGAACTTTACACCGATTTGGTTCCTTCCATTAGACCCTGTTCAGATTTAGAAACTTGTATCAAGTCCAGATAAAGTCCTGACCCAGCTGAGACTGTTGGCAGACATCCTGTTCCTCACCTAGCATCAGTGCATCTCAGATGCATATATCAATAGATGCATTTGTGATGTGGTTTTGCCTCCTCACTCACTTTTGATTTATAAGCAGTAGACTCTGACTACTGCTAAACAGGGAAAACACATTTGTTTTACAATGCAGCTTAATTAAGAACAGTCATGGTGACTGTTGGAGGTGTTGCCTCAGGGAGGCCTCAAACTTAATCACCTTGTGCCAAGCAAATCAATGCTGTCTCCTACAAAATTACATTCTCATACAAATAAACTGCATTATCAATTACATTTTGATGGAAACACGTTTTCTTCTGGACCAAACAGTCACCGTTTCAAACATAGTAAACGAACAAAACAAAACTATTCAGCTAGGATTAGTAAAAACATCATAGTTTGGCTTAAAATGACTAAGCTTTTTTTCACACAGGACCAACAGCAGTCTATTAGGTGAAAGTCTTGTGTTTTGTGGCCATCCACCATCCCGGCCTTCTCACCTCCTCACGCAGACTCATTTGAAACTAATTTCTGATAAATCAATAACAAACGTAATCCACGGCATTTTTATGAAAAGTAAATCACAATGCAGTTTTGTTGTAATGGGAACATTATTTTTAAGAGACAGGACTGAGCAAATAAATGGTGTTTTGGGGTTTCATCTTGATTAAAATATCTCTCATATTGATGATACCACAAAGGATTATCACCAAACTCTGCAGTCATACGAAGGGGTTTAGCCTATTTTACACAATCGTTTGGTAATGAACACAATTTAAGCTTATCATCTCTATTGTCATGTAACTCTTTAACAATGGAGATGTTTTAAACTCTTTAAATTGACCACCTGCTCAGCAGCCAACCCGCTCTCCCCTATTGGAGTCTGAATGACATGACAGTCATTTTGCATGCAATAAGAATGCCTTTCATGCTTTTTGTGTGTCATTGGTACACCATGTAGTCTGTACTGACAGCAATGTAAACACATCAGCAAGAATATGCTGCTCTCTGAACAATTGATGACGCAGCAACGTCACGCAACCACGTCACGCAACCACGTCACGCAACCACGTCACGCAACCACGTAACGCAACCACGTAACGCAACCACGAATAGTGTCCTCCCAGGTAAAAGTCCTGTTTGTTTTCTTTCCATTTCAACAAACTCTAATTACTGTTGTAAGTTTAGAAGATGATTCAACAAATACTAGATTATGTGGGTAATTAGACATGCGCATTGCTGACGTGCCGTGAAATCCGGCCATTCTCACCAGTAATCACAGCAGTCTCTCACTTATGTGTCTTGAGGAAAGTGTGAACATGCTTTATTTCAACTATGGTTATATGTTAATAGTGTTGAAATGGAATTACAGCCTACGTCTGCATGTTCACCAGGTTTCCTCAGTGATTTATGCCAAACAATCTTATTACCTTGGACCCCGTTCCAATCATCAACCCACTGACAGCTTGTTTTCCCACATTCAGCCCCTTGCTGCTTTTCTATTTAGGTTTGTCATGCATCTACACAGGTGGCCTGCTTCCAATCTGCGCTGACGTTTTACATACATGTTTATTTTAAGCAGTTTGTTTTTTCTAGGTAAGTGCTTTGCAAGCCTACATCCGAGAGTGTGAATGGTGCTGGTTTTAGGTTGCTGTTTGGGGTACATCGTGGCAATTTGTGGAAGGAGCCGGCAGACGTCCGGGATTTCATCATCCATTCGCAGTTCAGATCAAATGCTTGTTCCGCTGTTCCAGGCACAGCTCCCCCGAGGCAAGCTGGGTATATGAAGGAACTCCCTGGGTTTGGTGGAGTCTAGCATGGGCCATTGCTGATTACACTTCCTTGTGTTCCTCAGGGGCCGGCAGCGCCACAAAGGCTGCTTTTCATCTTCTTTTCATCCATTAGAGAAGGTTAATTTCAGACAAGATGAGCACATGCTCTAGTGACTTGGATGTTCCTCTCAGATGCTCCTGGATAAGAGATGAAGATATGATATATGGCTGTGTGGGATCTCATCATCGGATGTACTTGTTGTGAGCCAGCCTATTGGGGTCATACATAAACCAGAGACTGTGTTAGGGAGCAGCAGACAGTGCTTCACTGACATGATCTCCTCCAACACAAGTCTCTGGCATCACCAGCCCTCAGCATATTATTCACTCTAATAGTATGATATTATTCTTTTAAATGTTAAATATAACCCTTATTTAGTCAATGTACTGCTATTTAGTACAAAATGGCACAATTTTTTCCATGGATCCTGCATAAATATAGTACATCATGGGTTAGAAGCATTTGTGCTGGGCTATGGAGACGATATGAACACTGATTGTGACAGAAACAGTTTTGTAACAGTTCAAACCTCAAGATGGAAGTTTGAGTTGAATTTTGGATTAATGGAAAGACAGCTTTTTTCTAACCAATCATATGGCAACCCTTTAATGTATTATATCGCTATAGTTACTTTTTACTTTCCAAGATTACCCAATAGCATGTTAAATTAAAAAAAAAAGATTTACTCCAACTCAACCAACATTAAAAGTCTACACATTAATGCATCAGTAATACTAATAATAATCATGATAATAACACAACATACAATATATCACACAGAAGCTAATTTCCTGCATTTAGTGCTTTTACTTTTGATACTTTAGGTACGTTATGATAGTAATACTTCTGTACTTTCACTCAAATAACATTTTGAATGCAGGACTTTTACTTGTATTGGAGTATTTTGTTTTGCAGTGTGGTATTGCTAATTTCACTGAAGTAAAGGATCTCTTAACAACCACCAATTAGTCCCACCAATTGCTATGAGCAGCAAAGCCTTCGCTGAAACACTCCAGCAAGAAAAAATGGCATTACTATCTGCTCTTTCCAGCGTTAATTGAGGCACCACATAGGCTTTTGCTTTTCTTTTAATGCAAAAGACATAGTGCTGATATGCACGGGGGAGATGAAAAATGAAATATTTTAACTACTGAATGAGATATTATTTATTTTTCTTTATTTAACACTGCAGCAATATTTAGTGCAGGGAAGTGTAGATGAATTAATTGGAACTGAACCCGCTTTCTTTTTTTTATAGTGGAATTATGACCTCACCTTACCATCTCCAGTGTAAAGGCAGCTTTATGTTTTCACACTGCAATGAAACCTGACCTGTTCAGCCAACCCTCTGGTGTATCCAGCAGCTCAGGAAGAATATGTCAGGTCAGAGTTTTACAACAGAACCTCTGAGGCAACGTATATATCAGAAAATATAGGGTTTACCTTGAATCTTTCCAAGGGCTTTAAATTCTTTCAGAGACGCTAAAGAGACTGCAATTGAGACAACAACTTAGTTTATTGGGCAGCAGCAGCTCAATAGTATTGATTTGTGCCCACGAGCCAGTAGAATACCAATGACATGAAACATTGCAGCTAAAAGGGAACATGTTACGCCCTTCAGCTTTGCAGGTTTTTTTGTCGACAACAGTATTTCTTCTGAATCGCTCAGCCTGCTTTTCGGCATTATGATGCAGAATGCGGAAGCCGAGGCTCAGTGTCTGGAGCTATGTGGGAAAGCAGACATGATTGCTGTGCATGATGGACAGGGTGTTCTTTTAATGGGAAAACTGACCAGCTTTCTGCTGTGCTGGATCAGACAAAGCTGATTCAGAGGCCCTTGAAGGCGATTGTTTTGGAGTTGAATTAAATCAAACCCCTAGAGGACACCTCAAGAAATAGGTCTATGTTTAAGTCGTTAACGCCGCAAGGTCTGTTTGAGAAATGGCAATTTTCAAAACCGGAAACCTGTTTTGTTGTCGAAACAAAAAGTGGTTCTCAGTTAAGTTATTCACAGTTTAATCTAACAGACAGAG